CAAATGTATCTCCTTATCCTTTTGTTAATTCTATTGATTACTGTATTTACTGTTTGTGTAGCTTAAAAACCCACAATTAATCTGCTTTTAAATTGCTTTTAAATATTTTCATAATTTAAAAGGTCAACATTTTGTTCAACTGATTATAGTTTTATTGAAACTTCATTAAATACTTTTAATATCTTAGGATTTTTTTCATTCTGAGGATTGAACTCAGGGCTGCACATATACTGGACACTCTGGTGTTTTATTGGACATCACTTCTTTCTTTAAACATTTTTTATATTATTATTATTATTATTTTATGTATGAATGTATTGCCTGCATGTATGTAAGTGTACCTGTGTCATGCAATGCTCTCGGAGGTCAGAAGAGGGCACTGGATTCCTCTGGAACTGAAGTTACAGACAGCTGTTAGCAGCCATGTGGGTGCTGGGAATTGAACCTGGGTCCTCTGCAAGAGCAGTCAGTGCTCTTAACCGCTGAGCCATCTCCCCAGCCCCATGGAACGTCATTTCTTCACCATCTATTTCTTTAGGAGATATCTCTTGAGTCCATACAATAAGTAATGACAAAATGAGTGTATTTCCATTTCCTGGGACTGCCTTTCCCCATCACTTAGTTTTAGCTGTTTATAGCCTTTGTAAAGTGTTTTGTACATCTATTCTAATAGTCCTTCTTATTCTTGAATGTCACTATCCATGGTTTTACTCTCTGTGGTTTCACTTTCTGTGGTTTGTTACAGTCAGCAAATGGAGGCAAAAGTATTATATGGAAAATTCTGTAAGTAGTTTGTAAATTTCTCTACTGTATTGTGTAATGAAATATCACGTATCTCTCTTTGCTCACCAGGGATGTGAATTATCCCATTTCCCAGTGCATTGTGGGTGCGTATGCTTCCTGACCATTAGCCATTTAGTAGCTAAGTTTGTTTTCCCGTCTACTGTCATCCTATCACAACTATTTTACTTAAACATGACCCAAAATTTAAGAATATTTATATCAGTAATTCACATATGCCAATGAGAAACAGTAAAGTCCTTTAATTGGAAAGGTGAATATTTCCATTTAACAAAGAAAGAAAAAAGATGTTATGCCGAGGTTTCTAAGTCTAGCAAATCTATCTATGAAATTGTGAAGAAAAACAAAATTTGCTAGTTTTTAAAATTTTTTTTATTTTTTATTCCACACTCAACAATGACGGCTACCAGCACAGTACATAAATACCTAGTTACGCTGGAAAAGGCATTTTATTTGTGAGTGGAAGACATGAGCAGAAAATATGTCCTGACTGAATGCAACGTATAAGAAAATACACACTACAGCAAGTACCGGCTCAGCACTTGGCAGTTCCGGGCACCCACTGGAGGTCTTGGAGCGTATCTCTTGAGATAAGTGGGAGAATGTTGCACTTGACTAGCTCAAGTTAAATGATCTCTTTTGACGGTTGGCTGCTAGCATAATCATACTAGCAACACTTCCAAATTCTTAGAGCATTTAAATTTTCATCTCAATGGCTGGAGCCAATGCTATCTGGCCCTTTCACTGGAGGCTGTTCATCCATTTCTCAGTTGGCTGCAGCATTTTCTCTCTAGCAGCATTTTCCAGAAAGACTCAAGTGGAAATGTGCTTCTTGACTTTTTTGGAAGTCCATATATATATATTTTTTTCTTTTTAAAAAATATTTTATTTATTATTTTTTCAGTTTATTATTTATTTAATAACTGCATACTTAGAAGAAGCATTTCATTACAACAGCATTGACATATTCAATAACAATTTTCTAAGCTAAGATGCATCTTTTTCAGAATTGGCTATAAATTTTTAGGTTTACAGTTGAATTATTACAGTTATACAATATTGTACTCAGTATAAACCCTATAAGACATA